ACTGTCACCCTGCCAGCACCTGCACCAGCACTGGGACAGGGTTTTGGTGGTGGGTTGGGTTGGGGTCTTTTTGTTTCTTCTTTTTTGACTTGGTTTTGTTTTCTTTTTAAGACTGGCTAAACTGACCCTTAAAATGCTTGTCTCCTGGCTGAGGAAACTCCTGTGACAGAAGTGGGACAGGGACCTCCCTCTCTGTAAAATCCAGTTGCTGGAACTGGATTAGTCTCTTGACACACATACAAGAACCTGACTATCAGCCTAAGGAGCCTAAAAGGGCTGGTGCCACCTTCACCACAGCCTTACCACAGCCAACCTTGTTTTCCTCTTCACTCTTTTTTTCCCTTCCACTCTCTGCTATTCCTGTGATTCTCTTTGTGCAGAAGCAACATCACTTGTATTCATTTTGGCTTACGTTCCTCCTCGGGCGCAGCAGCCAAGTTAAAAAGGGGAAATTTTGACACTGTTGCATTTAACCCACAGGAATAACAGCTTTGACAAAAGAAAAAGCAACAAAACCCCACCAAAACCAAACACCAAAGACACTAACAAAAACAGAAACAAGCCACCCCCCCAGGTTCCTCACACAGTACAGCTATACTCTGTGCAAATCTAAATCACTCCTTGCTAACCTGACAAACACTTGCCTTGACAGAATCATGTTAAGACAAATTAATTAACAATTATGCTAACATTCAGATTAATAACTCTGCCAGTAGCTTTGATTTAGACTTTTTATAGCTTCTTAATTTTAAGAAGGTAAAGCACAACTGTTTCATTTGCAGCAAGTGATCAGAGCAAAATCTTATGTTAAGTAAAACTGTTTTCAAGCATTTTTCTGGACATTTTACAAGAGTACTAGGCTTATAAGAAAAACCTTATTCTCCACACCCATAGAAGTAGAATATTTTTTTACCTACCATCAGCAGACAGACGAGCGTGCCTTTCATAGGCTTTGTTTATTTCTAGAAAAGCTTTGCTCAAAACATTTTCCAAGTTCTCGTCCTCAGCAAGAAATTCTCTGGAAACAAGCAAACAAAGTATTAAACTTCTTTCCAAGAAATATCCATCTTGATCCATCTCTTCCATAGCCTTGTCTCCTCCCTGCATGCCCTGAATAATGCTGGATTCCAGTGACAGGGTAGGACAGTTTTACTCATGAGCTGCACTTGTAATTCTGCAAATATATCAACCCCTCTTCCAGCACCTTGGGGTGTGACACAGAGAGTAAAGTGAGCTGCAGGCCAGTGACCACGGTGACCCCATCTGAAGAGCCTGTTCACACTCTGTGTTCCAACCCTTTCCTGGAAGGTGGGTACAACTGCATTTTCCTTGTCTGTGCAGGCGTGCTCGGTGGGGTGGGCACAGGACAGCGTGGGCAGCTCACAGCAGGGCCCCTGCAATGCCTGTCCCAGCCCGGTGCTCCCGCTGGGCTGGCTGCGTAACCCCGGGGGATGCTCGGTTCCCTCCCGGCCCCACGGCATCCCCTCTGTGCGACGGGAGGAGCACTTACTGAATGTACTTCTCCATGTACTTCTCGCAGAAGTCTGCGGCCGCGGCGCCGCCGTGCCCGTCGTAGACGGC